CTCACCCTGCACCGCCCCGGCCACGGGCATGAGCTTGAATGGAGCTCCTGGCCTGGGTCGCAGGTGCTCCGAGGCCGGGAGGAGCCAGCAGTGCACACAGGGTTGTGGCTCAGCTCTGCTGCTGCTCACCCAGCTCCTGCGCCTGTTCCAGCCACTGTTCTCCTCCAGCTCTTGCTCCTCAAGTGAAGGGTGCTCCAGGCTCCCTGTGCCTTGGGCAGGTGCCTGCCCTGGGGCTGCCCTGCATGTTCTCACAGCCATAGGAGCTTCTGCTCAGCTGCAGCCCTTTCCCACAGACCCTGATGCAGATGGACCATCCGACCACCATTTGTGCAAGGGGCTGTCAGGGAATGTCACTGACATGCACTCCCAGTGATCCCGGGCATGGTGGTACGGGGGCTGTACAGCCCCAGTCCCTTCAGCCTGTCCAGGATACCCTTCCCATGGCACTGCTGTTGGCTCAGGACACTTAACTGCCCCAGGCAATGTCAAGCTGGGGATGGTTTAAATGGGCCCAGCTTGCCCACCTGGTATGGCTGCCCTGCTCACATCAGTGTTTGCCACTGTGCCAGCACCCATCCTCCTGTAGGAGGATGAAACCTGCCCTATTCCTGGTGATGTGCTCTTGCTGCTGGTGGAGGCAGCCCCAGCTCCAGGCATCTTGTAAATTTGCATGGGCCAAGGGTGCATGGGGCCGGGACATGATCCCTGCCTGAGTCACGAGTTGGCGTCTGCTCTGCCGGGGTCCGTCTCCAGGTAATTTAACCCCACAGTCAACAATGTGGCACGGCGGCGTGGCAGTAAATCAGTAACTGTTTGCCTTTGCCTGTGGTCCCCTCCCTGCCGGGTGTTTATGCAGGAACAGGAGCCGGCGCTCAGCCGCCTGCCCCACTGCCGCACCTCCTGTCACCGCTGACGGCAGTGGGAGTGACATGGGCAGAGGCCCGGGGTGGCAGGGAGATCATCAAGGCAGCCGTTTTCCCTGTGCCCTCCCGGATGGGGAGCTGCTGAGGAGCTGCAGGGACCTGGCCATGCTCAGGCTGGCTGGGATGCTCCCACAGCAGGCCCAGGGGTGCCAGGAATGAAAGCAACCATCTTGCAGCCTAGTGGCCCCTGCAGCAGGGCCAGAGCACAATGCTGTGTCAGCCGGGGGGGATGGGGGTGATAACAGCATGGAGGTGAGCACAGTGCCCACCAGGATGGAGAGGAGGGACCTGCACCATCCCTACCTGTGCTGCACAGGCACAGAGCCCACCTGGACCCAGCAGCAGCTTCTCTAGAGCAGCAGCACTGCTGCCAGTCCCACACTGTGCACCCAGGGTCACTGGTGTCCCACTGTGACTTGGCTGTGGCCCTGTGCTGGTGCTGTCTGTGAGCATCATTGCCCTGGTCTGGCCCTGTGACAACTCTGCCAGAGCATGGGGTGACCCCAGTGTGGGGTGACCTTGGTGCTGGCAGTGAGCAGCCAGCACTGAGAGGCTCTAAGGGAGGATGCCAGCACAAGAGCAGCTGAATGACAGCAGATGGGAGCCAAGAAATGGAAGGCTCATGGAAGGACATGAGGAGAAAAGCAGAGGGGAAACTGAGAGCTGGTGGGAGCAGCGTGGGCACCAGTGGTTTTGCCCACGCTTGCGCCCTAGCTCCAAGGTGCCCAGCTGGTTGCTGAGGGGACAATCCAGCTGAAGCTGCCCTCAGCCAGCTGGAGAGGGACTGAGCAAGCTGGCAGCGAGGCCAGCAGCTCCAGCCCACACAGCTGACATCACCTTCTGGGCGACAGGAATGCTTTGGCTCCTGTCCCCAGTGCATGGCATCCAGGATATTGGTGTCCCCACCCTGGCCCTGCCAGGTGCTTCTTCAGCAAAGGCTGAGGATGGCTGTGGGGAACACAGGGGTCTGCTAGCTGTCCCCATGGCCAAGCAGGATCCTGGCTGAGCACAGGGGGTCACCAGCCCCAAGCCAGGCCCCAAAGTGCTGCATCCCTCGGGAGCTGTGCTCACCAGCACTGAGCCTGGTCACGGTGGCTGCGCCCAAGCCTCGTGGGTGACCGTGGCTCCTCCATGGCAGCAGGGAAATGCTGGAGTCACATCACCTGACTGCTGTGGTCAATGATTAAAAGGGGCACACTGAGGTGCCCCTGAGCAGTGAGCCAGCCTCCCACTGCTGGCACAGAGCAGGGATAGCAAGTACAGGGATACAGAGGGACACCCCATCTCTGGAGACGCTGGGCCCCTCAGTGAACAGCACAGGGTCCCCACACCATGGGCATGGACTGGTGCATGGCCCCTCAGGTCCAGCTGTGCACCCTCTGAGGGCTCCTGCCACACTGCCACATCCTGTCACATCCTGCCACAGCTGAGCCCCCTGCCCACACTGCCCCTGCAGCGCAGAGCTCAGTGGCCCTGCTGGCACGGCCACAGCTTCAGTGGTGCATGGATGCTCTGGAGCCTGGCATGAGCCTGGCTCTGTGCTCTGGGATTGCTCCTACCTGCTCATTCCATGGGGACCCCTGCCCCAATCAGCCCCGCAGTGCTCCAGGACCTAGCACAAGGCACCCACCCCAAGCCCCCCAGCAGTAACCTTTCTCCTCACCATCCGTAGGGGCTGCATGCAGCTGGGCACACAGGGCCAGGATGCCCAGGAGCAGAACAATGGTGGTCTTCATGTTGGTGAATGCCAAAGGTATGGATGAGGAGCGCAGGTTGGCGGGGTTTATATCTGTGTGGAGCTGGGGAGGGGCCATGCACACAACCTTCGTGTGCCAAAACACTCACTGCTGCTGCGTGTCACAGTTGTGCCCGAGGCAATGACGGCCTGAGAAATGATTTACCTGGCCTTGTCCAGCCCTGGCAACCTGGCTGCAGCAGGGAAAGGACCCTCAGCACTCTCATGGGGAAAGGGAGATGAGGCCATGGGCTGGGGTCACCCTACAGCCATGGGGAGCCCCAAACTACCCAGCTGTGACAAGTGATTAGATGAATTTTTGGGATAGGAACCCAGAGGGGGCTGCTCAGGAAGATATTCCCCTGGGGGCTGCTGTGCTGGCAGTGTGTTACTGGGGTGCCACAGGGCTGTGGGTCTGCTGGGCTGTGCCCATCCTATAGACCCAGTACCTGCCTGTCCCAGTCCTGGCCTGGTGCCTGCTT